GCCTCGCGCCCCGATCCCGAGCCGGCCGCGGCAGAGGAGGCGGCGCAAGCGGCGCAAGCGCCGCCGGCTGGGGCTGGCGGCGGCGGCGACGGCGGTGGCGGCGCGGGCGGCTCTGCGGGAAGCGCATGGAAGAGGACGTCATGCGCGCCGCGCGTCTCGTCGGGCCACGGGCCTCCCGGGTGTGCGGTCACGCGGCGCAGCTTTGTGTTGAAGTACTCATACACCGCCACCGTGCCCTGCGGCGGGCTCGCGCCGCCGTCCGCCGGGTAGGCGTAGAACTGTACGCTGTGCCGCTCCTCGCCCTGGCGTGGCCCGCCGGTGTGGAAGGTGAGCTGGCGCAGGTTGGGATTCCAAAAGTCGTACACCGCCACCGCGCCGTCGGGCGGCGGCGCGGCTCCGCCGGCGGGCGGCACGTCGGCACGGAAAGCGGTGAACTGCGGTCCTCGCTCCGCCTCGTCGGCCCAGGCCTGCCCCGCGTGGATGGTGAGCTGGCCGAGCTTCGCATTCCAAAAGTCTTTGACGAGGACGAGCGAGGAGGGGTGCACGCCCGCCGGGAGGGAGTAGGCCGACCAGCGCGGCGTCAGCTCATACGCGTCGCTCGACGAGGCGGCCGACTTGCCACCGGAGCCTTGCCGTAGGAACGACTCTCTCCGCTCGACGGCGCGGCCGCTGCCGCGCGGCCTCAGGTCGATTCGCACCGAGCGGACGTCGACGCTGAGCGAGGATGGCGGGCTCTGCCCGGCCGCGTGTGACAGGTCCGGCGCGGAGTCCTGCTGACGGTACTTCTGGCGGAGGTGAGCGAGCCGCTTGGCCTTCTCTGCCGAGACGGGCACTGGCGACGTGGGTCCAGTGGCCAGACCGCCGCCGAGGCCGAACGATCTAGAGCTGAGCTCCTCGGACACCCGCGATGCATCAGACGCCACTGCCGTGCCGCCTAGCAGCGAGGCAGTCGGGCTCTCATCGTCGTCGTCTCGTGCCTCCTCCGTAGGAACAGCGCCGTAGCGGGCACGCAAGCGTGTGGCCGTCATCGCTACCTCCTCGGAGATCGACGGGTGGAATGGAGGCTCCGCCATCGACGGGCGGTGGAGGGGAAGGTGCTGATAAGATAGATATCAAGCAAGGCGCGGCCCAGCGCGAAAAGAATTAGGAGCGCGGAGGGGGGGCTTGGGGTCAGCTGTCGGAGGAGGTGAGAGACGAGCTGACGCGGCCTCTGCGGGTAGAATCGGGACGTACGGACGAGCCGAGGACGATAGAGAGACCGCGGGGGCGGGCACGAGTCCTCGACCGAAGAGAGCCGGCCTCACTTCACGGGGAGGGGCGGCGTGGCGATCCAGTGCCGCCGCCCTCGCCCGAGGAGTTGGGCATGGGACCACCGGAGGTGGAGTCAACAGGAGCAGGCAGAGTGGGCGAGACGGCGGCGGGGCCGCGGCCGAAAAAGGCTAGGAGGGGGGGTCGGGCCCCGCATCCGTTGCCCAACCAGCGGAAAGCGAGTGGGGGGAGGACCGAGGGGATAAGAGGGCCCCTCCAGACCGAGGGGGGGGAGGCCAGACCGGGAAGCCTCGAGGGGTGACGTCGAGTGAGGATGTACGTCGTGTGCGTGTCTGGTGTTTATTAGCTCCGAGTAGAGGGGGCGCTCCGCTGCTAGGGGAAACCTGGAGCGCGGACTAACCCTCGGAGACCCGTGTTTACTTTACGGCCCTTTCCCTGCGAACGCGCACCCCCTGGGCTAGGGCTCTCTTGCCCGCAACCCGATGCCAATCATCCGGCCCGCTGGGTGCGCTTCTCAGCTCCCCGGCCCTGGGTGTGCGGTTGCCGACTGCACTCCAAGTGCTCCAAGTGC